GTGTAATTTCTGTGCTGACAGAATCTTTCCGCAACTTGATTCTTGCCAGTATCCGGTGAGCCTCCTCCTTGGTATGTGTCACTCGCCTCCTTCCCAGACCTCCTGTGCTTCCCAAACAGTAGTTGTGCTCCACCCTGTAGGCTCCCAGTGATGTTCTCCATGCAGCTGTCTGCCCTCGCTTCTGCTGAGCCAGTGCCTTGTGAGCTGGGACTGAGTAAACCTGTTCTAGTGTACTGTTCCAAAAAAAACCAACAAACAAAAACCCAAACAACAAACAACACCCCCAGGAATTTAAGCTCTGCTTAGAAGTTTTGGAGTGTGTTTGAGAATTCCTGCCTAGTTATGTAGGCTCTTCACATCTCCCCCAATCCGGTGATGTTTACATGCCTTTTAGGAGTACATGCAGTTCCGTACAGTGGGCACCAAGACCAAGATCTGCAAGCTGACGCTCCGCTGGCCCTGTCCCATGACTTTTGCTGCCAAAGGCCGTCGCAAGGTGGAGGCAGAAAACAAAGCAGCAGCATTGGCCTGTCAGAAGCTCAAGGTAAGTGCACGTGGCTCCTACATCCTGTGTCTACAAATAGAGGCTCCTTGCACTCGACGCACCATATTTGAGCCTAATGGGCTGATGCCTGAAACTTTCTGATCTTTGACTTCATACTTGTATTTTTGAACCTTAGGATTCAGTCCAAACTGCTGTTGTACCCCTCTAGTGTCTAATCTGTGATGACCCCTGTAAGGGTTTGTGCTCGATTTTTGGGCCCTCAACGAAGCGACGTGTAGGGATTGCCCTGGAAGCGTCAGCCTGTTCTCTTGGCCACCTTGCTGCTGCCCACTAAGGCAGACTGTCTTCCTGTTCTTGTTGGTGGACTAATCCAGACACGTTACTGCAATAGTTTTGTTACAGACTCGAGAGTCAGCAGAGAGGAAGTCCAAGAAGATAGTGTAGGACTTATTACTGAATTGGCACAACACACCGGAACCATAGCAGGAGAGTTAACAGCCTTGCAACAGGGTTTTGTCAGATACAGTTGTGGCTGCTGTTTCTTCGGTGGGTCTGTTTAAGACCTTCTTGGGAGTGTCGTGTTGGAGGCAGGTAGCAGTTGGCTCCAGAGTGTCTGTTTCACCAGGGTGAAACAGATGGGATCATGTCTTGTTTCTTGTCGTGGCAAAAGCAGGAAGTGGTGGATTTGGGATATGGGGTAAGGAGTTAGCCTATCCGAACTTATAGAATCCCAGAACGGTTTGGGTTGGAAGGGACCTCAAAGATCACCCAGTTCCAACCCCCTGCCACGGGCAGGGACACCCTCCACTGCACCAGGTTGCTCAAAGCCCCATCCAGCCTGGCCTAGAACATTTCCAGGGATGGGGCAGCCTCAGCTTCTCTGGGCAACCTGTGCCAGTGCCTCACCACCCTCAGAGGGAAGAATTTCTTCCTTAGATCCCATCGAAATCTCCCCTCTTTCAGTTGTAGGACCCATGTGCTCCGTGTACCAGCACTTCATACTCGGCAGTCTTGTGTCTGATAGTGGTGTTTGCCTCTCCCTTTGCAGAGCCTTGGCTTGGTGGACAAGAACAACAACCCCCTCAGCCATGCCATGTACAACATGACCTCACTCCGGGAGCTTGGTGAGAACCAGAGGAAACCCTGCCACATCAAAGTCCCCGAAGCGACCCTGCGCAAGATCGAGAACTATCTGAATCACGTAAGGCTTGCCCAGCTGTCCGAGAGCCACCTTTGGCTGATCCCATTGAACTTCAGGAATTGCACGTGGGTTGAGCGCTCCATGTCAAAATGTTGAGGGAATTCATGGCTTGATAGTTTGCCACAAAAACTCGTCAGTCTCTGCTGACCTTTGGGGAATGGAGACCTTTTCTGGGCAGTTGGCCTTCTCTGTGTGCATCTGGGACGTTTGCCTGTGTTATTTGGGTTTTGGGATGTTATGGAGGGCAGTTTTGGCTCGCTTAGAGCCGCCTTTGCAGGCTTATGGATGCTGCCTCATGCAGGTGTTGGTTCCATTAAACTCTGGTTGTGCCTCGTGGCTTTATGAAGACCAGGTGCTGGTACTGGCACGTTTCTCTTGGGAGTGTCTCTCATGTTATTGTACATTAGTGGTGGGTGCAGGTCCCCAGGCACCTGGTGGGGCTTTGACCCAGGAGATCCCTCCTCTTGGAGGACCAGAGGTGAACCCATGGGAGCTGCACCAGTGCTGAGACAGGGTTCCTTAGGAGCATTCACTGTCAAGGCAGGAGTTAGTGCTGAGGTAAGATGAGTTTGAGCATAGCTCAGGTACAAATGTGCGTGGCTTACAGAAGTCACTTGAAAATAACACCCGTGTTTGGAAGTTGGCAAGTCACTGACGGAATACTCTCGGGCCTGAACAGTAAAGATCTCGGATGGTCTTTACAGTATCTTGCAGAAGTGTAAAGGGAATGAAGCAGTAGTGAATGTCCTAGAGAGGCAAGGCTGTGCCTACAGCAGCTGCTTCTGAATGACCTGCTGTAAGTGGCTGAACTAAGGGCTAGAAGAGTTAGGAAAACAGAACATCTTGAAGGAAGTCGCTCTGTCTCACACGCGTACGTGAACGTGAGCTGTCGCAGCGTGCGTGGAACGATTGGCTTTGCGACTTGGAATAAGGCTCAGTCCAAAAGTGCTGATTTGTAGCTCAGCTTTTAATCCTGCAAACATCTGGGCCAATGCTTTGATTTGTGTTCTAGACTATTCCTGACCTATTGTTGCTCCTTTTAGTTCTTCCTGTGGGATGTGGGACTTGCGTTTTTTCTGTTGCCAAGATAGGATATTTCCGGCTTAGCCCAACGCTTACGTTTTGTGCGAGTTACGCGTCGGGGCGTCCCGAGGGAGAGAAGGGTGGTGGTGTAACTTGATAGTTTCCAAAAGCTGTCTTGGAGGGGCCGTCGCATCACGTGCATGCAGCGTAGCCACTGACTTGGAGAGCTTAAGTTCCTGGTCTGTGCCTGTCAGTTCAGGTGCCAGGGATGCAGGGAGGAAAAAGCAGGGAGCTGCCCAAGTTAATTCACACTTTAAATAACCCCGGTTCAGGGTGTAAGTGGCTGAGTAACCTAAAATCTCGAGAGACTTTGGCAAAGCTGATCTGGCTGAGTCTGTTCCAGGCGCTTGTTTCTTTCTGTCTTGCTCAGGACTGGTACTAATCTTTTTCTCCCTGCCAACTTTCTCCATCTCTCCCAGTATCCGGTGGACATCAGGGAATCCAGGCCCCGGATTGCTGATGACATGATGAACCTGAGCAAGGAATCTGGTGCGATAAGTGATGCAATCACGGGGAAGACATACATACCCATGTTGGAAGCAGAGGAAGTGCGCCTTAGCCAAAATCTCCTGGCCCTCTGGAAAAGGAGAGGATCCTCGTGGCAGGAGAGCCACCCACTGCCAGTAGATCCTCACAAGGACACCATCCTATCAGCCATTGAGCAGAACCCTGTAGTGGTAATAGCAGGAGACACAGGCTGTGGGAAGACCACGAGGATCCCTCAGCTCCTGCTGGAACACTACATCCTGGAGGGACGTGGCGCCCGCTGCAACGTAGTGATCACCCAGCCAAGGAGGATCAGTGCCATCTCGGTCGCCCAGCGCGTGGCACAAGAGTTGGGTCCCAACATGAGGAAGAATGTGGGCTACCAGGTGCGGCTGGAGAGCAAGCCACCCGCCAGAGGAGGAGCCCTGCTCTTCTGCACCGTGGGCATCCTGCTGCGGAAGCTGCAGGGGAACCCCAGCCTGGAGGGTGTCAGCCACGTCGTGGTCGATGAGGTCCACGAGCGAGACGTCAACACGGATTTCCTGCTCATCCTGCGGAAAGGCATCCAGAAGCTCAACCCTGACCTGCGCCTGGTCTTAATGAGCGCCACAGGAGACAATCAGCGGTTCTCACATTACTTTGGGGATTGCCCTGTGGTCAAGGTGCCGGGTTTCATGTATCCGGTGAAGGAGTACTACCTGGAGGAGATCTTGGCCAAGCTGGGTCGGCACCGACACCGGCACTACGAGATCAAGGTGGGTATGCTGCGTGGTCTTTGGGCCGTTTCCCTTGGATGGGGCACTGACTTCTGATGTATCAGCATGGGAGAGTTTGGACCTGGAACTAGTCCCTCTTTCCCATGGCTGTTGGACAGTGTGTGCTCAGCTTTAATACCTCCATCAGCCCTCGTGAGGTACAATCAGCTTGGTAGAATCCCAGAGTGTTTTGATTCAGTTATGGACAAAGATGACTTCAAATTCGGGTCTGAAGTTACTTTTGTGCCTCTTGGATGCGAAGTTCGTTGATGTGTGAGTAAATGAACAGCTCATTGTACCTGTGTATGAACACACCTAGATGCAGACTGGAATGTTGGTGGGCTCTGTGCACACCTGCTCCGGGACCAGGATGGTTCTGGTGCTCAGCAGTCTGTCACCTGCTCACCGTCCTGCATGACTGAGTTCCCTGATTGCTGCTTTTTGTGACTGGCCTTACTGGTCTACTGGAAAATGCCCTCCAGACATGGACTCCTTGCTGTGGGTGGTGTCACCTCAGTTGTGGGGCATGGTGTCAGAGAACCGTTGAGGTTGGCCAGGACCTCTAGGCACTTTCTAGTCCGACCTGCTGGACTGGAAGCTGTCAGCCCATTTCTCCAGCTTGTAGAGGTCCCTCCCTATGGCAGAGCAGCCGTGTGGCGTATCAGCTGCTTCTCCCAGTTTTGTACCATCAGCAAACTCGACGAGGAATCGCAGAATCCCAGAATGTTAGGGATTGGAAGGGACCTCAAAGGATCATCTAGTCCAATCCCCCTGCCAGAGCAGGACCACCTAGATCAGATCACACAAGAACATGTCCAGGTGGGTTTTGAACATCTCCAGAGAAGGAGACTCCACAGGAAGGTGTCCCATTGCCTTCAGGGCAATCTTCTTGTTTCTCTCATGGCTGGGATTTTTACCTGAGCTTTTTAGATATGTTCCAAATTACTGTGAGATACAAGAACTAGCGCTCTGCGCCTGGTGGATTTGAAGTCCCAGGTGCATCTGGCACAGTTTTGTCCTCAAAAGTTTCATGTTAATTTTCGTTACTTGTTAGGTGCTGTTCAGTAGAGGTACACAAATCTCAGTTCGCTTCCAAGTCTGGAGAACGGGAAAGGGACTGTATGTTTTCACTGCACAGCAGAGGGGAAACTGGCAGCAGTTGTGACCAGAGCAGGTTGCAGATGGAGCCAAAACCTGGCTCCTGAGGTTCCTGGCTCCTAGTCCTGGGCAGGCTGTCCAAGTACAGGCATTTGCTCTCTCCAGAAGATGCTCTGGGAGGCTGTGTGCCTTTCTGCTGGCTGCTAGGTAGCTGCTCATTTATCTGCATGTGTCCTCCTGTTTTACCCAGCAATCAGATGATGAATGTGTCCTTGATCTTGATCTGATCACTGACCTCGTACTCCAGATTGATGCTCACGGAGAACCAGGTGGGTTCTGCCTTGCCCCCTTGCTCTTTCCTTTTGCTGGGGAGGGGGGAAAAAAGTGAACCTTGCAGAGCCCAGGCCCTTTGCAGAGAAAACATGATGCCGAGCTGACTTCTGCAAGGCCAGCTTGAGTTCCTGTTGAACTGAGTGGTCTCGAGCAGTGTAGCATGAGCTTGAATTCCGAGTCTTTGGCTAAGACACCATCTGAGTCCTCAGGGTCTCAGTCTTGG